GAAGTGAGGATGTCACCTGCTTTACTTTGTTTAATCACAACAAACCTTAATGCTTACTACATCATTTCTATTTTGCAAATAAGTAAACCAGGCAAAGAATTTAAAAAGACTTGTCCAGTTATAAAATACCAAAATATTGGGGCCAGTAGGTGGCACGGTGATTAAGGTGCTGGATCTCACATGGCTGATTCCACAGTTCAAGTTCCGGCCCTGGTGGCTTGAAAAACATGCTGGGCAAGAATGGGAAAAGGACTGAGGCATGGCCATCCCCCCCAGGGGGCGTGATTTCTCATTCCAGCAAGTACACAGGCCCTATGGTAAGAATCTAAAAACAAACAAACAAACAAACAAAAAAGCAGGGTTTTTTTATTTTTATTTTTTATTTTAAGAGAGATTTTGCTACAGGGCACGTGCACTTGCTGGAGAGACAGAGAGACAGAAAGTGAGAAATCACCCCAGGTGGGATGGCCATGCCACAATCCTTTCTCCATTCTCCTCTGGGGATTTTGGGCATGCACGCACACATGCCCAGCATGAGTTTTAAGTTGCCAGGTCCAGGACTTGAACCATGGTCAACTGCATGGGTGTCCAGTGATGTAACCATTATGCCATCTGCTGGTCCCACAAAACCAGGATTTAAAACCAGGCAGCCAAACACTAGAATCCATCTATCACCAAATCATCCTCCTAAGTCTCTCCTTCATACAACTGGTCAGTGACCTGTCTAAAGCACAGGTCCAAGCAGCTCCTTGGCAATCCACTCAGGGGTTCCCAGGCCTGCCTGCATGTCATATCCTCTGTAGTTTGGCCCTGTCAACTCTCCTGGCTTGGTCTCCAGCAACTCTCCAGGACTCACTTGATTTACTGCTACTGCAGGAACACAGTGTCCACACTGTCTTATCCTTCCCTAAGTGTTATTCCCTCTACCAAAATTCTTTTACACCTTACCTTTCTAGAGAAATCCTATTCATCCTTCAGAATTTACACCATGAAACCTTTCCTGCCCATTCTTTTCCCCATTCCTTAGCAGGCAGTGAAAAGAATCCTGTCTCTACTGTCAGAAGCTGTGTGACGTGGGCCTCGGCAAGTTATTTTGTCTTAGATGTCTCATTTGTAGAGTACCTACTTCACAGAACTGTGCAGCTTAAATGAGATGACATAATTTAGGCACTTAACATAGGGTTTGACACATAAGTATTCAAAATATTTAACAATTATTACTCATCTCTATTCTTCTATGTACCTAGACCTCTGCTGTTAAAAATGGTAACTTCCCATCAGAGTGAAATCTCTTTGAAGTACCTACAGTACCCACTCTCACCTTTATTTTAGCAGTGCCTGGTATATTGTGGACACCTAATAGATAAATATTGAACTTGTCTAATTTTCTTTTTTATTTTTAAGAATTACTATACTTAACATTACTTATTTATTATTATTTTCCAGTTTGATCAGAGAGAGAAGTGAGAAAGCAAGCCACCAGGTCTAGGCCTCGAACCACAATTGCCCATGTGGGAGTCCAGTGCCTTTAACCACGCCACCTGCCAGCCCCTGAACTGGTCTGTTTAAATACTGCCCACCTTTCAGGCTCAGTTCAATTCCCATTTTCTCCACTAATAATTACCTAAGGAATTTGGTTGGATTTTTCCTTCTCAGAAGTCTACAGCCTGATCCTGTGCTACTCTGCATTATATTACATGTACAAGTGTCTCGGTGAGGCGACAAGTTCTCCTAGGGTGGACACCATCACTGACATTGCTCTTCCATGCAATGGTAACTAATATTTCTAATCATAAAGTGTTCACTTGTAAACTAAAATACTGCTGCTGAAGTGTACATGGGAGGTCCCACCTTAACTAGTAAGTCATTTCTCTCTAATACACTCCAGCTATCAACTCATCTTGACTCTTCATTTTACCCTTGGAACTCTTGTCTACAATCAATTTGCCTACGTTTGTATGCCACTGTCATGTGTTGGCTTCCCCAGAACAGAATATATCTTCCCTCTTTCCTTTCCAGCCTCCCTCAAGGCCCAATGGAGGACACCATCCATGTGAGGGCTGCCTGTGTGGGTGCTGCTGCCTCACCGTGGATATGCTCAGTGGCAACTCTCCAAGTTATTTTTCTTTCACCTGCCTTTTCCATTCCAAGCCACACCAAGTTCAACAAATGCTGCTAGAGGGTGTGGTGGTGGCTACTCTATGGCAAAACCAATGAATACTGCTGCTAGACAATCATGGTGACTTCTTCCTTACCACCCCGGCTTATTAGATGGCTCAGCTGAGAGGTTTATTAGCATAATCAACACCCAGTAATGTCAGGGGAGTGGGAAAACCCTTGACCCAATTCTTTAGAATCATAATTTTAGAAAACACCTAGCTAAAATAATAGGCAAGAATAACTATTTAAAGCACCGGAAAATCAGTATACCTTGACTATGTAGGCCTACAGCACAGAAGTGAAGGAAGAGTGGCAAATTTTAAACTACAAGCCACGCACATTTTCTTGGAACCTCAGCATTTCTAAAGCTATAGGTTAAAATTAAAGACCAGGGAAGCAAGGGATAGTGGAGAAAAAAAAATCATATAAAAGCTTACACACTGGGTGAGCAGGTGGCATGGTGGTAAGGGACTGGATCTCACATAGCTAACCATGTGGTTCAAGTCCTGGCAGCTTGAAAAACATGCCAGGTGTGTGTGCTTGTGTACTCAAAATTCTGAGAAGAGAATGGAGAAGGGATTGCAGTGTGGCCATGAGGGGTGACTTCTTACTTTCCCCTCTCTCTCTGTCTCTTTGGCGAACATATGTGCTATATAGCACATTAAATTAAAAAAAAAATAAAAAAAAAATAAAGCCTATATACTGATTCAAGCTCTTCGTCTAACTATACTTTTTTGGGGGCCAGTAGGTGGCGTGGCAGTTGAGAGCATTGGACTCCCACATGACTGAGTTCCAGACCTGGTGACTTGCTTTCTCTCTCTCACTCTGTTCCTGTCTGGTCAAATTAAAATAAATATATAAAGATTTTAAAAGATGAGTCTTAAATACAAACAAACAAAAAAATAACTTTTTTTTTTCCCTTGGGTAAATTTATAAATTTATTTATGCTGGCTGGTGGCTGAGGCTATGAACTTCCATATAGCCAACCATGGTTCAAGTCCCAGACCTATGGCTTACTTTCTTACTCCCCCTCACCCCCACTCTCTCTGGTAGGTGCATGTGCTCTATAGGACATTTAAAAAATAATAAGTTAAAAAAAACCCAAAAACTTATTTAGAGGCTGATAGGTGGCGTGGTGGTTAAGGACGCTGGACTCCCACATGGCCGACCATAGTTCAAGTCCTGGACCTGGCAGCTTGCTCTCTCACTTTCTCTCTCTCTCTCACTCTATGCCTCTCTGGTCAAATTAACATAAATAAATAAAGTTAAAAAAATTATTTAACCCTGGGGCCAGCAAGTGGCAAGGTTAAGGACACTGGACTCCCACATGGCTTTCTCTCTCTCTGCCACTCTGGTCAAATTAAAATAAATAAATAGAGTTAAATGAAATAATTATTTTAAAAAGCTAAATTTTAAAAAATATATTTGGTTAGTTTCTCTGATACCTTTTTTTTAACTTAAAATTTTTTAAAAAATATATTTTAATTTGACCAGAGAGGGAGAGAGAGAGAAAGTGAGAGAGCAAGCTGCCAGGTCCAGGACTTGAACCAAGGTTGGCCATGTGGGAGTCCAGCATCTTAACCACCATACCACCTGTTGGCCCACAAATAACATTTTTGTACCTCAACTTCTATATGTCACCTGTATTAGATTGCACTAACTGAAAGATCCCACATTCAGCCTCACCCCACTCTCCAGTTAGACACACTTAGCAAACATAAACTAGGGGTAATATGCTCACAGAGAAGTCATGGGATTGGCTCAAAGTGAATTAAGGATGAAAACACTCACTAACCCCACCACAATAAACACTGCTTAATTTGTTCCCCAGATTACATAGCCTAGAGTTTCTGTTGAAGCACTAAATTTTTTCACATACTATTTTCTTCCAGTTAAACTCCACAAATGTAGGGAATGCCTTTCATTAATATGTCTCCACACTGGTGGTATACAGACGGTGTGGTGGTTAAGGTGCTAGACTCCCAGACTGACCACAGTTCAAGTCCCAGACCCTGTGATTTGCTTTCTCCCTCTCTCTCTCGTGAGTGCATATGACCGACCAATAGCAAATTAAATACTAATAATACTAATAAATAAAATTAAATACAAAATAATTCTTTATACTAAAAAATTTAAAAAGGCATTCCCACCTGGTATGGAGACCTAACACTCACAGCTAATATGCTGTCCAGAAAGGCAAACGGTTAGGATGTAGAGCAAGCCAGTAACATCCTGAGTAGTTGAAAATTTATTTGGAAAGCTTCTGATTAAGGGGAGAGAAAGAATGAGTCAGATACTGAGAATATCCCTTCTCCAGTTTAGAAGGTACTCCCTCTTCCCAAGTAGAACGGGAATTTCTCTGGAATATCTATGTCTCCTAGACCTCGCTTATCTTCCGCAATACTCATTTGAGCAACCAATCACATTCGGGAAACACCACAACCAACGTTTCTTAACCAAAGTCAGGCAAAATGGGCAAATAGTTTCAGTCTAACATGTGTGGATGCTGGGGAGGATGGCAAGGGGTGGGAGGGGAGACCAGGGCACGAGTTGTTTCTCCTTTGGTCTGTGTATCACATTCGCAAGCAGCTTGTAACTCCCTTAGGTACCAGATTCCAGTAATGCAGGTTAGGACAGGAGAAATAAAGTTGCTCTGCCTCCTGCTGGCCACAAACAGAAAGGCTTGAGTTTCTTTTGGCTTATTACTAAGGGGTATTTTTCTTTCACAGACCTGGGAACTTCCAAAGGAATGGAAGACTAAAAGGGAAAAGGAAGAACAGGCTTCCTTTTTGGCTGAGCCTGGACTAAGCCTGAGGTGTCGATAAATGATTTAGACCAAACACCTTGAATCCCCTTGTATTTTGTGAGCTCCAAGCTGAGGTTGACGGATCTTCTGCATCAGTTACAGAACAAGGGGATGGACAGGGGTGAGGAAAAGCCCTGTCCGTGTATCAACATCATCACGTTCCCTCTCCCTGAGTGATGCAAGTGGAGAGGCCAGCCGTACCCCATTACAGGTCCCTGTGTTCAGCTGAAGCTCAGGGCCCACACCAGCTTCTCCCGAGTGCTGTCTTCAGCATTCTTTCCTTCCCCATCCCAAGCCCCAATAAAACACACCAACTGCTTCAGAGTATTTCTGGGCTGGGTTTTTTTTGTGGGTTTTTGTTTTGTTGTGTTTTTTATTTCAAATATTGTAAAAGTCCCCTGGGCTCTGTGGGGCTCCCCACACTCATAGCTCCTTCCCCCACTCTCTGCCCTTCTCCCCACAGCAAATCTATTTCTAGGACAGTACTTTTTAAAACGAACAATCGACAATGAGTTCTCAGCTTGCTCTGCTGAACTAGAGGAGCTTCTTGCATGTGTCCTACGAAGATTGACAGTGTCTTATCTGACACCAGGTCTCCAGCTGCATCCAAAGAAGGCATTCAGTCTACAGAGCTAAACTGGAACCCCTTATCCCTAAGTCTACTCCACTCCCCACCCCACTCTTCCCCACCCTATAGCAGCTATGTGGTTATTAAGAAGTAGGCAGGAATTTTTTTTTTTTTTATCAGCTCCAAGCCCTAATTCACATTCCCCCAAATATCCCACCCCACCCTCTCAACCCCACCCCCAGGATTTCACTGAGAGTTCTCCCAACAGTTATTTGGAAAAAAAGGTAAAACAAAAAAGGTTCAAGGTCTTGGTGCTCAGCCCTAGGGGCTCCATGCGCTGGGACACCGACGGGCAGGGGCTTCTGCCTCTCCAGCCCGCGCCCAAGCCACCTCCTGACCCCTGGCTGCAAAAGCAAGGAGGGGCAGGAGCCAGCACAGGACCCAGGGGGGCAGCGTCTCAGGATCTGGCGGAGCCCCGGGCAGCATCATTCAACTTGGCCACTGCGGACGAACACAGAAGAAAAAAACAAACACTGTCAAGTAATAGGGGAAAACCCCCAGAATTCCATCCCAGTCTGCCCCCGATTCCTCCACATTTACCAATGGTTAGACTACCTGGCATATACCTCAATCCTACTCTTAAGGAAGTTGCCAGAAAGAAAAAAAGAGAGAGAGAGAGTAAGAATCTCAGTCTGTTCCTACCCACAAACCAGGATGTTTTCTTCCTTTTTGGAGATATCCATGGGGAGAAGACACAGAAAAGCAATTATGTGGACAAGATTAAAATAACTGGAGGTGGGACCAGCAGATGGCATAATGGTTACGTGGCTGGACTCCCATGTAGTCGCCCACAGCTCAAGTCTCGGACCCAGTGGCTTAAAAATCACTCTGGGTGCGTGTGCATGCATACCCATGATCCTGAGAAGAGGAAGGAGAAGAAGGGATGGCAGTGTGGCCAACCCCTCTGGGGAGTGATTTCTCGCTTTCTGTCTCTGTCTTTCCAGAGAGTGCACGTGTCCTATAGCAAAAATCTCTCTAAAATAACTAACTAACTAACTAACTAACTAACTAACTGGCGGTTAGGGTCAGCTGGTGACATGTGGTTGAGATGCTAGATTCCCACATGGCTGACTGCAGTTCTACTGCCACTCTCAGACTTGGTGGCTTGCTTTCTCACTTTCTCTCTTTCTCTTACTCTCTCTGTCTCTCTCTAGTGAGCACGTGTGCCCTATAGCAAACTTAAAATAAATAAATAAATAAAATAAATAATTCTTTAAAGCAAATAAAATTAACTGGAGTTTTTTTAGGGTGGGTAAGCTGCCTGGCTGAGTAGGCTCGGCTTTGGAGGAAAGGCCACAGCCACCCGCAGTAGCGGAGATTGGCTGAGGCAGCAGAGGTGAGGTAGTGACAGTGTGGAGGCCAGGTCAGACCACATATATGCTGTTTTGAGTGGGTTTTATAATCTAGGTTTAGGCAGAGTATTTACATTAGAATTCTGAAATGACCCATCTTTGCTAAGGAAGCTATGTACTTCACGCTGTGGGAACAGGTGGCAGATACAGCACGTATCAATAGGCTGTTTCTGCTTTCTTAGCCTTGAAGATGACTAAGTGCAGAGAGAGTCAGATCAACAGGTTTTCTGATTTCCCTGTTCCTTCAATTCCTTGCTAAAGACCAGACTCAATGTGATTACCAGTGTTGAGGACTCAAACTGACCGATAGAGAAGGCAGCTCAGACAGAAAAGAAAAAGTACAGAATTCCGAGAAGATCGGAGAGACTTGGTGGCTTGCTTTCTCACTTTCTCTCTTTCTCTTACTCTCTCTGTCTCTCTCTAGTGAGCACGTGTGCCCTATAGCAAACTTAAAATAAATAAATAAATAAAATAAATAATTCTTTAAAGCAAATAAAATTAACTGGAGTTTTTTTAGGGTGGGTAAGCTGCCTGGCTGAGTAGGCTCGGCTTTGGAGGAAAGGCCACAGCCACCCGCAGTAGCGGAGATTGGCTGAGGCAGCAGAGGTGAGGTAGTGACAGTGTGGAGGCCAGGTCAGACCACATATATGCTGTTTTGAGTGGGTTTTATAATCTAGGTTTAGGCAGAGTATTTACATTAGAATTCTGAAATGACCCATCTTTGCTAAGGAAGCTATGTACTTCACGCTGTGGGAACAGGTGGCAGATACAGCACGTATCAATAGGCTGTTTCTGCTTTCTTAGCCTTGAAGATGACTAAGTGCAGAGAGAGTCAGATCAACAGGTTTTCTGATTTCCCTGTTCCTTCAATTCCTTGCTAAAGACCAGACTCAATGTGATTACCAGTGTTGAGGACTCAAACTGACCGATAGAGAAGGCAGCTCAGACAGAAAAGAAAAAGTACAGAATTCGAGAAGATCGGAGATGAAGAAAACGTACAAAATTAAATATATATTTATATATATAATAACATGACATATCTATGTACAACATGGCTGGGACAATTGAGGAAACTATACAATGATGTTCGGCATTTCCCCCTTCCCACACGGACTTTAGATCAAGGATGACAGCATGAAGAAATGGAGCAAGAAACACAAAAATTATATACAATTACAAGTGACAGTCAAGGAGTTAGGGGACCAGGGAGTCCAGGGATCCTGCTCTATCCATTCCTTCCTCACCAACTTTTTACTATCCAATCTGAATGAGAGCCTGAAAACCGAATGGCCAGCCTGGGGAGAAGCATACACATACCTCACCCCTACATGTACACCAGCAGGTTCAGAAGTCATTCTCACTGGGCCAGATGTCTGGCCTATCAGAAGGTACAGGTGAGATGGCCAGAAAGGATTACAGAATCTCACTCTCTTGACAGTTCTCACCTTGGGGCTCTACTGTCATACTTTGCAGGCTACATTCAGTCAGATTCAGGCCAAGGTGGTGATAACTAGATCGAAGGAACTGGTCACCTGCAACCCTTTTCCTCTACCTGCTCATCAGTCAGCATTGCTACCTCTCTTCACAGCACAAGAGCTGGTTTATTGAGCTCGGGGAAGACAGATTTCTCAGTTCTCAGTCTCCCCTCTCTCCCTCACTACTTTCCCCAGCGTCCTCCAAGGTTTATCATCTCCTAAGAACCTGCTGCTCCAGCCCTGCAATAACACTATGCCCTAGGGGCTAGCTCTCTCCCTTACAATACACCCAGCATCCAATTACACCTGAAACACAGGTCTCCATATGTGCGTGACCGAGCATGTTTCCGCAGGCCTGCAGCTCTGCAGCAGAGCAGCTTTTCAGCAGTTAAAGCCCAGATGTAGGCTGGAAAAGGGGTGGGATCAGAGGCAAGAAGCTTCTTCAGTTTCTCCCTTGAGCCTCAAAACCATGGTATCTATTGAAGTTGACTGGATTTATAAGCCCCAAATCTCAACTTCTTCTCTCCTTATGTAGTACTCAAATGGTTCCCCTCTGAAGTACTTTCTAAGCAGTATAGAGCAGACTTCCCTCACTTCTAGTTTTATAATGAATGGCACAGGATGTTTCTGTTGGCAGTTACAGGATTTTAGAGTCAGAACCAACCTTATACGTATTTAACTCTATTTTACAGATGAAGAAATAGAAATCCAGAGATGCCACATGACTTGACCAAGGTTATATATCAGCTCTGTCCAGACTGAGTGGAACCAGAACCCAGATATCTTAACTCCTGAGCCAGTGCTCTTTCCACTCATCCCTGATACTTTCAAAAGTAGTATGTTAGAAGAGATAGAGAAGGTGCCCACTTTCTATGAATAATGTTCATCACTCTTTACATTATTTGAGAGCCAGGGCAAACTGTAAGAGCTACTAAGTAAAGGAGGTTAAGTGAGCATTGTAGTTTTAGGCAAGCAAATCAGTGTTTCTTTTTGAGTTTTCTTTAACCCTGCCATAATGAAAACATGAAGCAATAGCAGCCTAAGGGACAAAACACTTAGAAGCACAGAAAACACACCTCATCCAATCTACCTCTCCCACCTGTATCAGGTTACCCTTGGGATGTTACACCTGTCATACTATTCCCAGGGCTTAGCCTAGTCAGTTTTGGGATCTTCTCTTCCAAAAGGAGAAATCCTATCTCCCTGGTATCTCACAAAAGAGAAAAAGAGTTTGCAGCACTATCCAAGCCTAGACTTTCCTATTTCTCAGCTCCTACCTGGGCTACAGTGAGGGTGTGGAAGTTTCAATTTAACCAAAGAAATGAACTCAGAGCCCCTCGGCAACCCACATTAACTTCTCAGCTGCCTCCAGCAAAAGTGCAGACCTTTCCGGCTCATAAGCTATTAAGATCTGACTAGGTGCCCGTTCCATCCCTGCCTACTATACAGAAAAGTCCAGTGGGTGAGGAAGGGGGAAGAGAGGGCCCAGGTTACCCCGCAAGCTTGCTGGTGACGAGCGAGGACTTTCTCTGGGGCAGATCCTGTGGGGTAGGGATGTGGTCACCAGTCACCAGGTTCTTGTCTGGTCCTGCACTTGGCAGCTGCTTATTCTTCATCTTGGCTTTGGCCATGTTGTAGTCTCCTGAGTCAAAGTACTTTTGCTAAGAGACAAGAGGGAGGTTTACGTGAGTGAGGAGTTCTGACCCTTCTCAAAAGCAAGGAGACTCATCCCACATCCATCATAAACCCTCGTCCACACTCAGGTCTTTTACTTTTTCACAATTTTAAATAGTTTAAGACATTGCATTTTCCACTTATAGGACAGTGCTTATCAAGTGCAATGTTATTTTTTTCCTGTTACTCAGATCTTTTTAAGAAGTCATCCTTGATTAATTTAACATATACACAGTTTAATATTAATTGCAGGGGCTGGCAGGTGGCATGGCTGTTAAAGTGGTGGACTCCTTTACGGCCAACTGCGGTTGGAGTCTCAGATTGGGTGGCTTGCTTCCTCATTCTCTCTCTCTCTGCTGAGCACATGTACCCTATAGGAAATTGAAAAAAAAAAAAAAAAAGAAAAAAGAAATTTTAAACATGTATTAATTACAGAAAGGGGACAGGCACCAACAGGTGGCATGGAAGTTAAGGCAGTGGATCCCACAAGGCTGGCTGCATGGTTCAAGTCCTACATCTGATAGCTTGACAATCCCACCAGGAGGACAGCAGGTAACACTGCGGTTAAGATGGTGGACTCCCACGTGCTGACTGTGATTTGAGTCTTGCTTTCCCTCTCTTTTTCTAGTAAGTACATGTGCCATATGGCAAATTAAAAAATAATAATGGGGCCAGCAGTTGGCATGGTGGTTAAGGTGCTGGACTCCTACATGGCCGACCATGGCTGAGTTCCAGATCTGGTGGCTTGCTTTCTCACTTGCCTTCTCTCTGTCTCTCCCTGGTGAGTGCATGAGCCCTGTAGCAAATTAAAAAAAAATGATAATGATAAATAAAATTAAATAAATAACTTTTAAAATATTATAATAAAGAGACCAGCACATTGTGTAATGGTTACATCGCTGGACTCCCATGCGGCTGACTGTGGTGTGACTCCTGGACCCGGCGGCTTAAAACTTATGCTGGGTGCGTGTGTGTGTGTGTGCCCAAAATCCCGAGAGAAGAATGGAGGAGAAAGGATTGTGGCATGGCCATCATTGAAGGGGATGCTTTTGTGCTTTCTATCTCTCTGGTATATATGAACGCCCTTTAGCAAAAATCTCTTTAAAAAAATAAAATAAAATTAGGGTCCAGCAGATAGTGTGGTGGTTAAGGCACTGTAATTCCCACATGGCTGACCACAGTTTGAGTCCCAGACCTGGTGGCTTGCTTTTTCTCTCTCACTCTTTCTCTGACCAAACTCATGTGAAATAATAAGTAAATAAAGTAAATAATTCTTTTTTAAAAATAAAAATAAATAAATAAAATTAAACAAACTGTTCTTAAAATAAAAAAGAAAATTGGGCCAGGTGTGCACATATCCAAAAATCCTAAGAGAAGATTGGAGGAGAGGGACTGTGGTGTGGCTACCCCCAATGGGGAGATTTCTCAATTTCTCTCTCCTCTGTCTCTTTCTCCACTGAACGCATATACCCTATGGCAAAAACTTAAAAAATAAGGGGGAGAGCAGATGGTGGTATGGAGGTAAAATGTCATGCTCTGGGAGACTGATCCATAGAAAATTCCCGTTCACAAAGACCTCCTTAAATAAGCAAGGCACACATGTGCACATGATCTGGCTAAGACTAGGACCCTGTTGCGGGTACTTGTCTCTCTGAGTCTCTCTCACTCATGGAGGAGATAAATAAAACTTTAAAACAAACAAACAAAATTAATTACATGTACTTATGTCTTCTCTGTAGTATTCTTTTACAGGTATATAATCAGCTTCCTAGGTAGAGTGAGTAAGCATGCACGTGGGATGGAGACAGAGAGAGAGGTATTTCTGACAGGCTGGCTGGGAACCAAACCTGGGCCTCCAATGTGGTTTCACATCCCAGGTAGCAGCACCCTCCTGCCTGCACCAGGCCACCATGAATGGGCCTAGAGTACGTGTTTTTTAGAGTCAAGGATAGCTTCTACATCCTTTGTACCCCATCTGGCCCTGACGAAGTATAAAGCAATAGCTAGGGAAATAGAAATGCCTAAGATATGTAGAAGGATCAATCTGGGGGCTATCCTAGCAATCAGCAGATCAACCTTAAGCCGACAACTTCAAAATTAAGAATCATTCTCTCCTACCAGGAATAGAAACAGGCCTGTTCATGAGGATGATGTGTTTCTATGACTCCCACTGCTCCCACACATGCTCCATGGCTGTGACACCCGCCCACGCCTGCCTTGCCTACAGCAAGGTAAACTGCAAATTAGCACCATGTCGTCATCTGTGACTAAGACTCAATAACTGGGATTCTCCAAAGGGATCTGTTGCACTCTCCATTTCACCCACACAGGAGAGTGCAGTCTAATTTAATGGTTTCTTTTTTTTTGGAGAGGTTTTTTTGCTATTGGGCGCGTGCATCTGGCAGACAGACAGAGAGAGACAGAGAGACAGAAAGCGAGAAATCACCCCCCAGGGGGATGGCCACGCCGCAATCCCTTCTCCTCCATTCTCCTCTCGGGATCTTGGACACTCACGCACACACGCCCGGCGTGAGTTTAAGCCGCTGGGTCCGGGACGCGAACTGCGGTCCACTATGTGGGAGTCCAGCGACATAGCCATTACACTAACTGCTGGTCCCAATGTAATGGTTTCTAATCCCTCAGTCTTTGATACTTGTGGAGAATGAGAAACCTGATCAGGAGATGAGATGGCTATAAAGGGAGACTCTCTTGGTTAGGAAGACAACTTTGGACAGGAAAAATAACTCTCTTGAGGGAATACAGTTGACGGCTGGTGATATCTTTAAAAGGTCTCAAGAAATCTATTCCTTTCTCTTATTTTGCTATAGGGCATGGGCACTCATGAAGTAGAAAGCTGTGAAGAAACACCTCCCATGGGGTATGGCCATGTACCAATCTCTTCTCCATTCTCCTCTTGGGATTTTGGGCATGTATGCAAACAAGCTGGCATTTTTTCAGGCCTCTGGGTCTGGAACTCCAACTGTGGTAGACCATGTAAGATCTAGTTGTCTTAACTACCACACTGCTGGCTGGCCCAAAATCTATTCATTTCAAGTCAAGAATTTCTGTACGACAGATGGTTTGTTCTTTCTCTGAACTGATGCAGCCTCAGATTTGTCTCTAATCTTTCAAAAATGCAGTCCTAAGATGCCCCCGTTCCACCTCAGTATTTAGACAGGCAAATGCCTGGACAGTTTGCATTCCAGTCTCTAACGTCCTTTGCTCATTTCCCCATTGCTTCATAGACCCCTGCATTCAATGCCCCTGCATTAAGCCTGAATTTCCTACATGGGAATTCAGAAGAGAATTGATACCATATCAGTGATTTATAATAATTTGCCTTGTTCTTCTCAAGTTTCTCATTCTTATTACTACTCAACAACAAAAGCTCCAGGCTTCATTCCTAGTGCCCTCTTTGGTGCCAAAATAACAGAATAAGAGACTGTGCCCCATACCCCTTTCTGTAGTCTCTTCATGAGGAAGTCAGAGCCTCCAGGCTTCTGTCCTAGGCTTGGGTATTTGGCCTTTAGCTTTGCCTCCTCTGCTCTCTCAGGGAGAATGCCTTCTTTCTCTTGTGTGTCCTAGAAGAAAAAAATGAGCCAAATAAAATTAAAGACTGGGAAACAACTGCTTCTACTATCTGATATCCGTTATATATCAGTTTTTCTGAGATCTACCCACTTTTGTGCACCCTATCTCCACTCAGCTCTTAAAGCTAAACCTTTGTTCAAATTCCTAGGGCGCAAGATGACTGTATGAATTGTGAGAATAAAAAGACAAGCTGCTTCTCACGCTACGCCCAAGGAATCACCTCATGACCTGAGTACATTTTTGGGTTAAAGGTAATACCTAAACACAATACTTTAATCACAGAGGAGTCACAGCTCATTCTGCACAGTTTTTAGGAAAGACCAAGAGAGAAATGCACTAGCCAAGACTTCTGGTGATACAAGATGAGTAGAAGAATTCCCTGGGCTGTCCTACAGGTCAAATGAGAGATCAAAAGGGATAGGTATGCTGAGATATCCCTTCCTTATTCGGAGTCTAAGGCAGCCATCTGATAAGTCTCTCTGGAGGGGGTAGTTACATGGCCTTTTCCAAAGCCTCCACCTGAGTAATGGCACAGCACTGTTACAATATTGCCGTAAATTCTGTGGTAACAGAGATGAAAATGACACTGGTTTTAACCTCAGGAAAATTAAGACACACAAGATTCATTAGTTTTTACCCACGAGTTTTCACCAAATCAATACCAACCCTCCTGGGGGAAGTTTCTCGCTGCTGTTGGTCCTTCTTTCTGTAGGCTCTGCTGTCCTTTTTAGTGACTTTTTAAAAGGGCCTGAAGTCAACGTGTGGTTCTTTTTAGAGGAATTACATTCCTTTCCCTTGCAAATCTGGCACAGCTCTAACACCAGGTATATTTCCTGAGGCCTCAAGCCCAGTGCTGAATGTTAGAAGACAAAATAGAAATCTTAAGAAGGGGTTTATTCAGTGCTAGGTGTTTCCAACAGACTCGTGGGTGGACTAAGTTACCATTGCCTTGGAAGTCTGGGGGGAGTGGGTGGTGTCTTTCTCGTCACGACTCCGTCAGCGTCTTTTCTAGGTTTAACCTCCTCTACAGTTTGGCATTCTAGTCCTCTTCAGTCTTGTCCGGTCCTCACTGAAGGTGAACAACAGCCTATTCCCAACTATCAAAATAGGTCAATAGAGAAAGTTGCTGCCTTAAACTAGCCATGATAATAATTGGGCTTCTCCCCTCCCCCGTGTTGGTCCTTTTCGAAATTCTTTACCTCGACTTGTAACTTTCTGCGGATTGAGGATGAGAGCCACGGTCTGGTTACTGGGTGATTTACCTTTACTAACCACTAACACATAGCACATCCCAGGACCACCAGCCCCCTTTCATTCACCTCGTCTTCCCAAACGCCCGCCCCGCGCCTAAGTTCGGCCAATTACAACACAGCTTCCAGGGTTGGCGCTATTGGCCTATTGGCTAAGCACGAAAGGAATGGGCTGACAGACAGTCGGCCTAACCAACCAGCGCCAAGGCAGCAGGCCGTGTTGAAGCTCACGCAGCGTGACGCAAGAAGTGGCCAACCCCTGCAGAGCTTGAGACCATGGCGACCAATCCGCACCGGTGGGAGACCCGTCTCCCGCCCCATCACGGTCGCCCCCGGCTCGCTTGCCCGCACCCCCTCCATTTCACCTGCTTCTCCTCGCCGGTCTCCTCCGCAGGGTTCTCTTCTTCTTGTTTCTGGGACATGGCGGGAACGGGACTGTGGAGTGTAGGGGACCCGGGAAGTCGACCGGAGAAGGGAAGGGGGAGGGGAAACGGGGACAACCTTCGCTGCTGCTTCGGCTCCTGTCACTAGGGTTGCTCAGTCAAAATGGCGGCCCTCGCCAGTGACGTTGCGACCGCCCCTTCCTATGGGAACCAATGAGCGTAGGGTAGATGGGGCAATGACGTAACGATCTACCAATAGTCGCTGGCTATAGGTGGGTTCTATAGATGCAACGGGCAAGAGGGAACACCAATCGGGAAAGAGAGTGAGCCAGAAGGACCAATTGGAAGCCTGCGGGGGATCTCAGAGCCCAGGCTGCTAGGTTTGGCATTTTTGTTCCTGTGGTGGGCTCGGATTGCCTTCAGCTCCACCGCCCGAAGTCCGAGAGGCATCACCAACTCTTAAACCGGAGATCGGGAAAGGATGGAAAACTTTTATTGTCGGAGGAGGGGATTAAGCTTTGCAAATTATCCATAATTTGGAGGTCAGAATGAACTTTAAAATGGTACTCAGCCCTGTTCCCATGTGTCACTTTTACGTGTAATGAAGACCCTGAGCTAAACCCGTCTGCAGAACATTAATGGCTTACCTTCGGGAATTTAACTCTTTTTGTGGTTTTAAACTTGTTCATAGCCTTCTCATGAGGAGCAAACTCTTAGAAACAGGGAACACTGTTCTAGGGACGTGGTAAATATCTAGTAAATACAGTTAAAAATAGTTAATCTATCTAGAATAACAGTTCAGCAATTTTTTTTGAAGACGTAGATGGTACTGTATTAGTTTTCCAGGGGATACATACAAGGGGACCTCAAAAGGTAAGGAAAAATGGGATTTAAGTATGAGTTTATTTTGGTGCAAAAAATAGTGAAGCCCACATATAGTTGTTTTTTTTTTTTTGAGAGATTTTCACTGTAGGGCGCGTGCGCTCGCCAGACAGAGAGAGACATAGAGACAGAAAGCGAGAAATCACCCCCCAGGGGGGATGGTCACACCGCAATCCCTTCTCCTCCATTCTCCTCTCGGGATCTTGGGCATGCACGCACACGCGCCCGGCGTGAGTTTTAAGCTACCGGGTCTGGGACACGAACCGCAGTCGACTACGTGGGAGTCCAGCGACATAGCCATTACGCTAACTGCTGGTTCCCGCCACATACAGTTTTTAACTACACATTATCCTTTTGAAGACCCTTGTATATACTGTAGTAAGGACAGTCTTGGCCCTGTTAAAGCCTACAGTCTAGTGGGGTGTGTAGAGGAAGACCTTTTGCAATGTGCCACATATACTATAAATCTCCAAGATTAAACAGACAACACTTTCATGGAATGCTAGTCAAAAAAAAAAAAAAAAAAAAAAGGCATGGCGTATTAAAAACAACCTGAGCCAACAAATGGTGTGGTGGTTAAGGTATGGTTCAAGGCCTGGATCTGGTGGCTTTAAAATCATGCCAGGTGCAAGTGCATGTGTGTCCAAAATCCTGAGAGGAGAGTGGAGGAGAAGGGATTGAAGTGTGGCCATCCCCCTTGGGAGTTGATATCTCACTTTCCTTCCTTTATCTCTCTCTCTCTGGTGAATTCATGTATCTAGGGCAAAAAATATATTTTTTGCCCTAGATACATGAATTCACCAGAGAGAGAGAGATAAAGGAAGGAAAGTGAGATATCAACTCCCAAGGGGGATGGCCACACCACAGTTCCTTCTCCTCCTTTCTCCGTTTGGGATCCTGGGCATGCACACATGCGCCTCGTGTGAGTTTTAAGTTGCTGGGTCCGGGACTCGAACCCTAGTTGACTGGGGGAGTCCAGCGATGTAACCATTATGCCATCCGCTGGTCCCAATGAAAGGCACTTAAGGTTTTTAGGCCAGAGAGTGGCAGATCAGAATTGCTCTTTAGGATGAATTTGGTAGTAAGGAATGAAAACACTGAGAATTCCATGCAGAAGATACTAGAAGTGGGCAGTGTAGCCAGGAGTCTACTGTAAAGTTTAGGTGGGAGATAATTAGGAAATAAGAATAGGAAACAGTGGACCTAATCAAGAGAGTTGTGGCAATGGAACCTACTACTTTGGAAGGTGATTGAATATAGAGAATGAAAAGGCTGTGTGACATATAGGCACCTCAAGGTGTTCAGTTTTTTTTTTTTTTTTTAGATTTTTACTATAGGGTGCATGTGTTTGCCAGAGATACAGAGAGAGAAAAAGTGAAAAATCACCCCCTCCAGGGGGTAACAGCCATGCTACAATCCTGTCTTCTCCATTCTCTTGGGATTTTGGGAACGCAAGCACACGTGCCTGGCGTGAGTTTCAAGGTGCCAAGTCTGGGACTCAAACCATGGTCAGCCTCGTGGGAATTCAGTGCCACAACCACTATACCCTTCTGCTGCCCCAGATGTCCAGTTTTTTTTTTTTGAGAGGTTTTTGCTATAGGGCACGTGGTCTCGCCAGACAGACAGAGACAGAGAGACAGAAAGCGAGAAATTACCCTCCAGAGGGGATGGCCACGCCGCAATCCCTTCTCCTCCATCCTCCTCTCGGGATCTTGGGCACACACGCACATGCGCCTAGCGTGAGTTTTAAGCCACCGAGTCCGGGATGTGAACTGCGGTCGACTACATGGGAGTCCAGTGATATAGGCATTACGCTAACTGCTGGTCCCCCAGACGTCCAGTTTTGAAAACTCTGACCTATTAAAAGCTAGAGAGCCATTTGGTGGAGATATCCAGGCAAAGACTGAGAAGTGGGTGGCAATACTTAACAGCAAAGCAAAGAGGACCAGCAGTGGTGGTTCATGCCACCGAGACACAGTCTCCACAGGCTGGGGCCACAAGAGAGGCCTGGTTGCCATTCCAGTCAACCTAAAGGTGGGACACAGTGGCATGTGCCCAGGCTCCTAGTGACTTGGGAGTCTGAAGCAAGAAGATTGCAAGGCTGACCTGGGTGGAGTAGTAAGGCCCTGTCTCAACAAGTGCCAGGCCCAGCCGTGGTGTTGCAGGCAGTGTGGTGCTACTGAATGATACTGGAGCCAGATGAAAGGCCTAGATTTGGATCCTGAGCCAACTGAAGCATGCCAGGAACAGTGGTGCACACCTGTAATCCTAAATAACATCAAGGCTGGGCATGAGGATTGCAGCATGGCGAGAACCTGCCAACATTGGTCACCCCCCTCTCTCTCCTGCTCATTAAAAAAAAAAAAAAAGCTGAGTAAGGTGTCATGTGCCTATAGTTCCAACTGGGAAGTGGAGGCAGGAGGATTGTGACATACTGTGTCAAAAGAAACAAAAACAAAACAAACAAACAAAACTCCCAAAACAACAAAGCAAAGGAAGGAATTAGACGATGCAGGGAATGAGAAGCCGCAGATGAAGATCTTATTTTGGAGGTAGGCAAGACTCAAGCATGAATTAACTGAGTCAGAGAGAAAAACTAAACATGTAATTATCTACTTTAAACAGGAGATATTGAGGGCCAGCAGGTTGTGTGGTAGGTAAGGCACTGGACTCCCACATGGCTGGCCGCAGTTCAAGTCCTGGACCTGGCAGTTTGAAAATCACACCAGGTACTTGTGCATGCCCCAAATCCCAGGAGAATGGAGGAAAAGGGACTGCAGTGTGCCTATCTGCCTTGGGGGGTGACTTCTCACTTTCCCTCTCACTGTCACTCTGTCTCTCTCGGGTGAGTGAATGTGCCCTATGACATAAAAAAAAAAGAGAGAGAGAGAGAGATCTTGAAAGAATTAAAGTCTTGGGACCAGCAGGTGGTAGAGTGGTTAAGAGCACTGAACTCCCACATGGCTGACCATGGTTCGAGTCCTGGACCTCCTGGCAGCTTGCTTGCTTTCTCTCTCTCTCTCTCTCACTCTGTCCCTCTCCGGTTGAATTAAGATAAATAAAGAAAGTTAAATAAAATAATTCTTAAAATAAAAGTCTCAGAGGAGATTATTAGATCAACAGGGAGAGAGGCAGACAGTGACTTCCATACTGTAAAAAAAAAGAGTGTTGTGTGTTGGGGGGCAGCCAGAAGGTGGTAAGATGAGATGGCTGGATTCTTCCACATAGCCAGCTACCGATTCAAGTCCCTGACCAGCAGCTTGAAAATGACACTGACTGTGTGTGTCCAAAATCCCAAGAGGAGAATGAAGGAGAAGGGATTGCAGTGTGGTCATCCTTCCTGGGACGTGTTTTCTCTTTCTCTGTCTGTCTGTCTCCAGAGAGACAAAAAATACAAAAAAAAGAAAAGATGATAGGGAAAATGTTAAAGAGACATTTTTCAAATGGCTGAACATTAAGAGAAGTCACACTGAAGGATCTTGTTTGTTTGTTTCCTGGGTAGGGTCAGACTTTTGAGAATAAAAAGATGGTGGTAAGGGAACCAGCAGATGGTGTAGTGGTTACATTGCTAGACTACCACATGACCAACTGCAGTTCAAGTCCTGGACCTGGTGGCTTGAAACTCATGCCAGGCACGTATGTGTGCATGCCCAAGATCCCGGGACGAGAAGGGATTGTGGCGTGGCCACCCCACCCCAGGGGTGATTTCTCACTTTCTCTCTCACTGTGTCTGTCTCCCCCCACACACACACCCCTCAGAGCATGATACCTAGGGCAAATACCTCTTCAAAAAAAAAAAAAGAGGGACCAGCAGTTGGCGTAATGGCTATGTCACTGGACTGTTCGAGTCCCGGACCCGGTGGCTTAAACTCACGCCGGGCGCGTGTGCGTGCGTGCCCAAGATCCCGAGAGGAGAATGGAGGAGAAGGGATTGCGGCGTGGCCATCCCCCCTGGGGGGTGATTTCTCACTTTCTATCTCTCTGTCTCTTTCTCTCTCGTTCCGGTTGGCGCATGCGCCATATAGCAAAAAAAAACTCTAAAAAAAAAAAAAAGGAAAAAGAAGAAAAGAAAGTTGGAAAGATAATCTAAGAAAAGCAGAGGTTAGCAACAGTCATGTAGAGAAAATAATGATGGTTCCAAACAGCAAGAAAGCTCCACCTCAGATGAGATAGTAGGAACTTGTAGGGGTCCCAGTCACCATGGCTTTGTGACTTTGGTCAGGAGAGCTGCCTTGGAATGGAGAGAAAACAGATATGTTGGGGCCAACAGGTGGCATGGTGGTTAAGGCACTGGACTCCCATATGGCTGACCA